TTATCTCTCACACAGCTGCACTCTTAGCATGCTCAAGCTACTATTTGTCAATAATAACATATTTTATCCATCTCTCACACACAAAAGAGACAATAAAAAGAAAACAAAAAGACCAGAACACCACCTCACCAGCAATCAACACCCAGATAAACAGGGATTAACACCAGACAAGCAAGCAAGCAGTAAACAACAGCCTAATCAAGGAACTACCAAGGAGAAAACCACACCTCCCTCAACACTGACAGCAAAGCTACTGTATATAAACAAAGAGCAAAGCCCTCTTCTTTCTAGCACTGAAGATGTTACCTAGCCAAGATCACGAAGCAAGAAAACCAAGCTCAGAGAACCCCAATGACTTCAAGGTGTCATGGAATTTGCCAAAGGAAGGAGCACAACGCTGAGGAGAAAAGAACCAAACTTTATTCAACAATCCTTGGGTGTCTGCTTTCAGAGAAAGAGGGACCCTGAACAATAGAAAAGCATACAATTTATACACTTTTGAGGTTAAGAGGCAGAAAATCTGAGGGATCTGATTGGAGGATAGGTTTGAATAGGTGTTAAATGAAGGATAAATGGTTTTTCTATTGTAAGAGATGGACCACGCAAACCCTTAAGCAGACAGTTGATGGCCCTCCCATTGTTTCAGTATGACAGTGTTAAGAGGGCTATTTTTGGCAGCAGAACATGGTCACTCTTGGGCCATGAAATAGCTTGGAGCTAATCCAGTTTCGAATGAGCAAAGAATGGCAGGAGGAAGTGGAGAAAAGAGTTTGCTGGAGAGGCAAGGGGGGAGAGTTTCCAGCTTTATTTTATTATGTTTCCATTACAAAGGTATAATGGCAGCCTGAAATTCATGTCTTCTCTCCAACTTAATAAAAGTTGCAACATCAACTGAATAAAAATTGCAACATCAGCACAGAGAAATGGGCCCCACAGCTGATGTTCTTCCAAACAAGTTACTCTGATTTAGGGAATGCAAAATGATTAGCTCTCATTTCTAGGAGAGGAACAATCATGCTTGCCTTCAAACACCTCACCACCCTTCTGATGCACCTGGGAATGACAGGATATCTGTGGAGATTACAAGGAATACCATCCTCTGTTTTCAGGACTATTCCCTCTGGAAATGTTTTGGTCAACAGTCGGCCTTCAAGGCCAATTGTTCAAGCGTAGCAGTTATAAAAAAAAAAGCCTAAGTGGGCTGAAAGACCTAAGCAAATAAAGCAAAATAGAAAATAATCAGTTCTGTCAAGGACAAACTTAGGCAAGATTCCCACCCACTCACACTTATGAGCTGAACAGAAGGAAAGTGCAGAAGAGGGAAGTTTTATTAACTCCTTTGCGACTCTCCCACAGAATTAGCTGTGATCATACATGGTGAAGTTAATGGATGTTCTACACCAGTCTGCTCTACAATCAAGCGGCTGATGGTTTCTGATCTGTTGTCAGTCAACGTAATCAACCAGGACACTTCACTCTCGCCTTTGCCACAAGCTAAGCAACTGAATTCTGGAGGCTGCTTTGACTTGGAAAGAGAACTGGCACATCTCACAAACAGGGAGGAGGAGCATTGATTCAAGACAGAAGAATCAAATTATAACGTAGTATGATCTATGTTGAATCTTGGGCAAAACAAAAATCTGCTTTTCAGAAGTTCAGTTATTTCTACTTCTCTCTCCTTTACTGCCTAAAGGAGAGTGATTTTGTTTCTCAGTCTGGCTGAAACCTATTTTGTTTTATTCCACTCAAGTCATCCTGGGATGTTGAAGAATACTCATAAATTGTATCTAGGGCAAACAGCCACAGATAGGTGAGAAGGGTCTTCAGGATCGCTGTGTAAACCTGGCCTGTTTATAATACAACAAAAAGTTTCAGGCAATTTCAGAAGATTTCAACAAACACTACAGGTTTTTAACACATTACAATTGTTAATTGATAGGTACTTGTAATTGGATTTACAAGTAATCTATATCTGCATAAGCCACCTATCTTCCTCTCCCTTCCACCCCAATTTAAATCCTACACTGGTGTAGTCACTCTATGCATCTGATAAAGTAATGTGCAGCTCACAAAAGCTTATACTTTTTCATAACAGTTGTTAGTTGGGAAAGGTGCTAACAGACTCCTTGTGATTCCAGAGATGAGTTTAGGAATCTGTATTAAATTTAAGGGTATGTTATGTATGAAATCAGTGCTTCAGAAGGATGTAATCCTTCTCCAATGGATATTAATTGCAAACATTGTAGTTCCTGAGCATTCAACATTTTAGCCCAAGTTGGTAGGACAGCATTAGATTAGGGAAACTGAGCACAGTGAATTATTTCTTAATAGGGATCAGAGATGAGACCTTTATATCAGAATGGAATTTCTTTACCTTCGGTAAAGGTATTTCTTAGGTGAAAACCGGTAAATCCATGTAGTACAGAGGTTGCTATGCTAATCACAACAACAAATGTTGCATTGGCATTTTCTCATAATAAAATGAAAAACATTGTGGCTTTCTAGCTACTACGCTGCTTGATACAACCATAGTTATTACACATCAAACACATTGTTTTCTCTGTTTGTCTGTTTGCCAAGGTCTTGTACTGGATCTCATTACTTATTTCAGTAGACAGTATGAGCAGCTTCTGTAGCAGTAGATTTTAGCATTGCTGCCATTCTTTCTAATTTATGTCTTTTCTGCTGTTTGCTGAACCTGCTAGTCCAGTACCCCAGGATTTAGTACTGTCTTCCAACTTTTGTATGCATTCTATATTTCTTTATGCCTCTTACAAAGTTATTAGCACTTATTTTCAAAGTATTCTGAAAAAGAAACATCCAGCCATAAAGACAACATGCATGCAAGTATTTTTTGTTTTTATAGGTGTAAGGCTACCCATAATGTATTTGCAGCAGTGTTTCTGCCAAATATTTGGATTGTAGAGAGCCATGAAAAACAAATGCAGCAGTTAGTAAAACACGATATAAGCACAGGTAAGGAAGACAGCACTAAAAAGCAACTTAAACTGACTCTGCCTACAACTATCTTTGGTATGAGAAAGGAAGGAAAGCCAGTTTTCAAAATTCTATTATTATAGCCTACATCAATAGAATTCCAATCATTTCTTGTGAGGTCTGACACTCCTCTGCTTACATTAGTTGGGAAAATCATACTGATCAGTGGCGTACCAATAATGAGTTGTACTAGAGCTGTGTTTCTCAACCTCAACTTACTTTAAGATGTGTGGATTTCAATTCTGAGAATTCCCCAGCCAGCATGCTAGGGAAGTCCATACATCTTAGAGTTGCTGCGGTTGAGAAACACTACTAGAGTGTGAATTGTATTTAAACTTTGATCAACAAACTTATGTCATTGTTCTACTGCCCAGAAGTATAAATCTGACCTCCAATTTTTTTGTTCCCATAAACAGTTTGACTCACTTTTACTGAGCAAGTTCATATAGCCTAGATATTGGTCCATGAAATGCAACAGAATCTGTACTGCAATTAACTTCATTGAACCTACTTAGCTATTCAAATTCACTAAATCCAGTCCTGTTTGAGCCCATTTGGTGTAGAAACCAGGAGATCATCAGTTCTGCTCCCACCTTAGGCACGAAGGCAGGTGGGTGACCTTGGGCCAGCCGCTCTCTCCCTCAGCCCTAGGAAGGAGGAGGCCAGGGCAAACCACTTCAGAAAAACCTTGCCAAGAAAACCGCAGGGACTAATTCAGGCAGCTGCCAAGAGTCAACCCTGACTCGAAGGCACAGCACGTTCTGTTGTTGGAGGGAGGGGAGCAGAAATCTGCCTCCCAAGACAAAATCAAAAAGAAACCGCCCTCTCCTCTCTCTAAAAACCAACTTGAGAGAGAAACCCACACTCCGGATTGGTTCCTTGGCAATGAAGCTTCAGTTGTCTCCATCTGTTGTCTGGATAGACTCATCAAACTAACTGTCCACTAATCTTTCCAGTGCGTGAACTTCCTCACGTTCACTACTGGACAGCCCACCGCAAGAAGCGGTGGGGACCCTTTCAGCCGTCTGCCTGCAGAAAAAGTCAGCTAGCTGAAGAGAATCGGGCTGGGCGGGGCTGCTCTTTCCCGCGGTTAGTGCAGGCAGCAAACAAAACTCCCCCTCCTCCAAGTCGTCAGGTCCCCGCCTGCAATTGTGCTTCGATCCTACCGTAGCCTGCGAAGTAATTCAGAGGCGGGGCACAAGTGTGACGTTTGGAAAGCGATACCTTGTGCATCCTCTAATAAGGCGGCAAGAAACTGAGGGAAACGAAAGTTTGCTGGGGATTCTTCTTTCAGCTGGCTGTGCCTGCCGTTTGGAGCAGAGCAGTCTATGAGGAAAGGGGTTTTTTAATAGCACGGTGCTGCTCTTGACCCTGTGGATTCGTTTTGGATCTCGGCTGAGGTGAGTAACGCGCCCCCGGGATGCGCCTCTGCAAGCAACTAGCCTTGCTTTACGGTGCGTCCCGTTAGCTGCTTTCGTAGCCGGCTAAAGGATGGAGTTACGACGC